GTAACGTCAAACAGGTCCATTTTGGTTGCGACACGTAGGTACATACCTACTTACTGCTTACAATTTAATTTCGTATACATCAACAGCGTAGGGTGTTCACGCACGCCTCACTTTGAGCGAACAGTGATATTTCAAGATTCAAATATTTTACTACCCTATGCGTGTCACATAAAAGCTATAATATATATGTGCTCTAGGTTTTGATAACTTTATTTAGTAGCTGTAGCAGAAAACGTTCAAAACTTCACAAAATTTTTCAAACCTCCCTATTTTATAAGTTTTGTGCTATTGAACCAATTTTCGAGAAAAATATCGTTTAGAATATAATCTATCACTGTGCACAACACGTAAATTTTCCCTATTTAGAACACAGTACGGGCCAAAATGAAAAAAAAAAAATTAGAAACGTAATACTTAATTCCCGAAAAACATATTTTCAGAAATTTAAAGGAAAATTATATTTGTTCGAATATGTTTTACGTAAATTGAAGAAACTTAGGCTAATGACTCAGCAAATTTGTTAACCAGTGGCGTAGACACCGCGAGAAGTACTGTCACTGAATTTCTAACTGAGTTTTTCGGATATTCTATCAGTTTGTTTAATTCATAATTTCAAAGAAAATGTATGTCTTCCATTTTGCTTTAAAAACGAATCGAGTTATTTTTTTTTAATTTCAAATTTGTAAACAGATAAGTAGTAGAATTTATGTATTAAAATTTAAATTTTAAATATGATTTACTTACAAATAATCTTTAATGTTGAAATTGTGATTTTTTTCATGAGCCACCCTTTAAAATTAAATATTAATTTCTTTATCTATGATTTTTTTAACATTTGATTGTGTTGAAAATTGTATTTAAAAAATATACAGGGTGATTCAGAACTTATCTAAAAAAAAAATGGATGTCGGGGGACTCTTACAAATACAATTTTGTAAAAAAAAATCGAAAAGGGCAGTTCGAAAATGATTTAAAAATACACTTCTGCACGGCACTGGAAACTGGTCCACTGTAAAACCCGACCTTACACAAAGCGAAGTGGAATAAAAACGGACAAAAACTTGAAAGAATTTCGCAAGGAAATATATAAATATAATTTTGTAACATCTAATTTATATGAGCAAATTCAACTGGTTTTGACGTTATTGTTATTATGAATTAATGAAATTAATTTGCGGTTTTACTTAATAAAATAATTTTACATACCTGATGTTACAACTGTTCAAAATTTTTTCCACCGACGTGTAAACACATTTGGACCCGTCTTACATAGTTTATGCGAACTAACACAAATCTTGCTTCACCATAACACAAATGTTGTCGTACTTCACTATAAATTAAAACAATATCCATCAACTGCAAGTTGCTATACGCGTTTACCCATTTTTGACACTTGGAAAAGCGAATTGCGTACAGCGCAAAACGCAAATGACGCTATTAGAGACTACAGTTAGTAGCCCAGCTGTGTAAGGCTTTAATTGGTAATTTGTTTTCGGAAACTATAAGAATTTTACATATTGACTCCATTTTTCAAACCGCTTCTATTCCCAATTTTTTTGGATAAGTTGTGAATCACCCTGTATATATATATATCTTAAATTCTTATCTGTAAAACAGATAATTTTAGAATTATTTTCGATTTATTCTGTGTGATGTGTATTTAGAAAAAAATCTTAACTCTAAAGCGGCTCTTGCTTCCAAAAAAAGCGGTACAAAACATATGATGTAGATTGCTGAAGGTTACGTAGGTATTAGAAGAAAATTTCTATAGTAACTGTAAAGATAAATATGAATAAAATCGATTCTATGATTCCAATCCACATGTAATTCAAGCTTACGATTCTTCTATAGATTGAGATATTTGCATAGCGACACATATCTACATATATCGCAGAGGAAACACTATATTTATATATATTTTTTTGAGCATGCGTTTATTCGAATTTAGGAACCATAAAAATAAAATAATAATGGTTTATATTTGTATCTGTACATACAAAAGGACCCCGCAGATTTTATATGGAAAACGGTCTTCCGGTGAAAGGACCCCGCACAAATCTTATGGAAATTGGGTCCCGGTCAAATTCGCTGAATTTTTGATATGTGATAGAGTTCATCATTCTGGTCAATTGTCTCAATGGCCACAAAGCTGAAAAATGGATAGTTTGGCCGGTACAGAGCTCCGAATTCCACGGATTTATGTATATCCGCAGTGTGCATAAACTTTTGAAATAGCCTATTTCATTTTTTTTATTATCTAGGTTTATATTTTTGAGGTTGCTGAATTCAGATCTGTTGTTAGATTTTCAAAATTGACAGTTGGCAGCTGTCAAATAGCTGTCAATGTGCTATAATAAAGCCAAAAACTTGTTTTTTTATGTTTTATCTTTCTTTTTTTTTTAGTTCGATAAGTTCAAAGACGATATCAAATCAATAACAATGACTATCGGCAGCTGTCATTTAGCTGTCAACAATTCTTCAAAGTCCGGTAATAAAGTCAAAAAATTATTTTTTGTTTATAACTTCAAGTTTTTTAGATAAGTGAATATAAATATGATATAAAATTATGTAGTCATCAGCTTACAGCTGTCAACAAGCTGTCAACTAACTGTCAAAATGCAATAATAGAGCAAGTAACTTATTTTTTGTGCTTAACTTTGTGGATAAGAAATCAAACATGATATAAGTTTATGACATCACTTTTGAACTCAGTGATCTAAGCAACTTAAAGCTTTTTAAAAAAAGGAACTTTTTGACTTTATTATTGCATTTTGACAGTTAGTTGACAGCTGTAAGCTGATGACTACATAATTTTATATCATATTTATATTCACTTATTTAAAAAACTTGAAGTTATAAACAAAAAATAATTTTTTGACTTTATTACCGGACTTTGAAGAATTGTTGACAGCTAAATGACAGCTGCCGATAGTCATTGCTATTGATTTGATATCGTCTTTGAACTTATCGAACTAAAAAAAAAGAAAGATAAAACATAAGAAAACAAGTTTTTGGCTTTATTATAGCACATTGACAGCTATTTGACAGCTGCCAACTGTCAATTTTGAAAATCTAACAACAGATCTGAATTCAGCAACCTCAAAAATATAAATCTAGATAATAAAAAAATGAAATAGGCTATTTCAAAAGTTTATGCACACTGCGGATATACATAAATCCGTGGAATTCGGAGCTCTGTACCGGCCAAACTATCCATTTTTCAGCTTTGTGGCCATTGAGACAATTGACCAGTATGATGAACTCTATCACATATCAAAAATTCAGCGAATTTGACCGGGACCCAATTTCCATAAGATTTGTGCGGGGTCCTTTGCTAAAAATTTGGGAAATTGTTCGTTTTGTACCCCTGATCAAAAGTGTCAATGGGGTCGAAGCTCAAAATGCCCATCTTTAGGCTCTACGGCAATTTTTAATGGCCAAAAACGGCAAAAATTCATTTTTTTTAAATATTATGTTTAATGCTTGTACAGTCCCTTAAGTTTTCATTAAATTGTATGCGTGTGAGTATTTTATGTAGGAATATGTCCATGTCTAATTATATGCGTGTATATGTATTTGTGTGAGAGGGTTTTTGAATGCACAATTATACAAGATTTAATACACACCGTCTCAATATTATTTTGTGGTTTTAATAACCTTCAATGAACTCGGAACTCTCATGCATTTTTTCAAAGAGTTCCCAAGAATTGCCAAAGAGTTGCCAAAGATTTTCCAAGAGTTCGCAGTTCATAACTGAAGCGGATTTCTAGAGAAAGAATGTAAATAAAGCGAAAGAGAAGACACGCTGAATGAATTTTTGCCGTTTTTGGCCACTAAAAATTGCCGTAGAGCCTAAAGATGGGCATTTTGAGCTTCGACCCCATTGACACTTTTCATCAAGGGTACAAAACGAACAATTTCCCAAATTTTTAGCAAATTTCACCGGAAGACCGTTTTCTATATAAAATGTGCGAGGTCCTTTACAGATTTTTCTTCTAAGCTCTGATCGCTGAAGTTTCGATTCCATCGAACCATAGTCGAAAGATTAATGGAATAACAGAATTGATTACATATTACGGTGAATGAATTATTAAATACTTAGATGTTTTTTTACCTCATTTTAATTTAATTTTAATTTAAAAAAAAATCCGTGAAACATGCCAAAAGTATTTGTGCTTGCTTTTATTTTATAAGTATTTTATAAACATACACGTACATTTTATAGAGAACTTCATCTAAGGAAGCTTCTCTATTATTACCTGTATTGAACCAAGTCCCTTCGGTCCACGTCAAGAGATCATCCTTAGAGATCTCAGAGAAAATTACTTTCTTATATTCAATACCCTATGTATATTATACCTATCTTGAAAAAGAAGTGTTCTACGACCCACGACGCTCAAATGCACATCAACACGCTTAAATCTTTCTGGCTAAAATACCTAAATAGACCACCCTATACGTCGCCCGAAGCTTCCGCGCCGCGGGAAGTAGGATCTCGAAATACCCAATCCAGACGAAAATCTTTTCTTGGAGTGCACCTAATACAATATACATATATGTACGTACGTATACATGTATTGAAATTTACACCGATTGTATATATGTTTTGTATATATGGAAAATATCGAATTTTGAATATTTTCCGCTCTACATCGGTGTGACATAACACGGTATTTTAGTGTTCCACAAATAGCTTACATGTAAGAGTTATCACGTTTAAAAATATATATGTTCTCTTCGTCTTACTTTAAACGACAGTGGTGAGAGAGAGCTTTTTTAACACGTCCGTGGCTTCGCGTTCTCCCGAAGGAGGGATTTGGCGCGGATAGAGGGGGAGTGCGTGGGGACGTGCTCTACTTGATCGGGAAATGGTACACGCCGCGCCAGTTTTCATAGAGCAGCATCAGTGGCGGTTAGTTAATTTTCATATATATAAAAAAAAAACTGAACCGCATTTCTGTCTAAATAACCGTCTTAACCGTTCCTTTGTCATTTTGCAGGTACACCAAGGGCCGCAGCACCAAACAGTCTCCGATTCGCAGTACGCGCGACCATTTAAGGCTACCCAGTCGCAGAGCGCGCCTCCACATAAACAAAATCTGGATTCTATGCTTGGTAACCTCCAAGCAGACATGAGCCGCCAGGGAGTCAACACCAGCCAGAAGGGTTGCTGCAGCGCCTGCGACAAGCCCATCGTGGGCCAGGTGATTACCGCGTTGGGTAAGACTTGGCATCCGGAGCACTTCACTTGTGCCCATTGCACCCAGGAACTTGGAACCAGGAACTTTTTCGAGCGCGACGGCAAGCCCTACTGCGAACCGGACTACCACAACCTGTTCAGTCCGAGATGCGCGTACTGCAACGGCCCCATTTTAGACGTACGTGCCCCTCGGATAAAAAATCCGGCATTCGTAAATTTTTTTTATTTTTACACAGAAATGCGTCACGGCCCTGGAGAAGACCTGGCACATGGACCACTTCTTTTGCGCCCAGTGCGGCAAACAGTTCGGAGAAGAGGGATTCCATGAACGCGAGGGGAAGCCGTACTGCCGGGACGATTACTTCGACATGTTTGCGCCGAAATGCGGCGCCTGCAATCGGGCCATCATGGAGAATTATATTTCCGCTTTAAATTCTCAGTGGCATCCCGATTGTTTCGTTTGCAGGGTAAGTATGTGGGACTAAATATACTGACACATGACGCTTAAAAACACTCGTTATTTACATTTTAACCCACCGAAATACATTAAAAATGATATCACTAGGACTGCAAGTTGCCAGTGCAAGGAAAATCGTTTTACGCCGTAGAGGGTAAGCCCGTATGCCCCGCATGCATCGGAGCGGAAGAAGAGGAGGACGAATAAACGATTGTATGCCCCCAATATGCCCCTTTATTTGACCCCCCACCCCCCCGTACCAGTCGTTTTTATGAGAAAGCTTTTACCTAGGAAAAATGACCCCTCCCCCAACATTACCCCCTAAATATTACACCAATAATTCTAATGTATTAAATGTAATATTTCTTATATTATTATTGATAAAATAAAGACTAGAATAAAAAATAATATACAAAATACACGATATGAAAGGGACCATTTGCAAATAGCGACATTTCTCAACGCGGTATTTGAATTATCTCTACGATATTTTATTTTCGCGATTTTTGCCAATTTATAAATAGAATCGAACGTTAATAATAAGGTGTATCGACTAGATAAAAACAACGAAATCCCTCGCCTCACCAGAGTCTTGGTACTTTGTCGGACGCCGAATTTATTTTTAGCACGCCCCACTGAGATTCATTAAAATTGTGTCAGCTCTTGCTTATAGTCTCTTTCTGGTACCAAAATATAAATAATCCTTGAAATATATTTATGACTGAAGGCAATAATAGATATTATTTCGAAAAATATACGTACTACATACCAGTACCTTACATAAAACGGAGTAATTGGATGACTTCTATTTTTTTTTGCTGTACTGAGAAGTTAAAGTACAAAGTCAAAAATTCCCTATGCGTCCGTTAAACGGCGACGTCACGGAAATCTTGGTTACTTCAGAATGTCGGCAATTTCTTAAATTAATTCGCGTGTCCGAGAAATTACTTTGCCTTTATAGTCCAAGCATTCTGTCACGGATTAACGTTAAATTTGCAGAAATTATTACCTGGACAAAAAAAATATGACCGTATAGAAAATTAAATTTTAAATCGAGTTTCTTGTTCTTTAAACTCGATCCAAAATGGCGAACATGGTTAAAAAAATCGCAAAGTTGCAAAAAACGGTTTTTCTAAAATAAGTAAAAAAATATAGCACCGATCGAAAAATTTTAAATGAGAAAGTTGTAGGTTTTAAACAGATCTATCGACTGATTTTGACGAATGTTGACGATTTTATTAATTTTAAGGATCAAAATATGAAAAATTTTCACTTTTTTGGGTGTTTTTTTCAAATAACTATTTCAATTTTTATTTTATGAAAATTATTTTTAAAGGAGGAAACTGCTGAAATTTTTTCACGAATTTAAAAAAAAAATGTTTTTCTACGACCTTCTGGAGCCGAGATAATTTTTTTATTTAAAAAAAAATTTTGAAGACGCAATTAACATTTTTTACAGCGATGCGCTTGATGGAGGTTAATATTCAATATTTATATTTTCAAAATAAAAAAAATAGGATATGTTTACTTGATTTTTAGTACCTATTAGTAATTAAGAATTGAGTAATAAAGTGAAGCGTGCAAGCGCTGAGTGCGTCAGCTGGACCGGCCGGAGAAGTAGGGGGAAGCGGCGCGCGCTCGCTCTGAAAACTGATGACGTGCAGTCTAAATGGCTCGCGCTTGCAAAATCTTTGATATCTCGGCTTCTGGACCACGTACAAAAATTCTTTTGTACTTAATCTGGGGTAGCTAAACACGAATATTATAGTCATTTTCGCATTAGAAGCAAAATAGTCCCGTAAATGTTTAGTTTTTATTTAACTTATATTTTTTTTACTTTTATTATACTTCTTCACGAAAATATGGACGACGAACAAGAAAATGAATCAAAAGACAATCCGACAAAGAAAAGAAGAATTTCATTCGATAAATAATTTTATTTATATAGGATACTTGTTAGTTTTCATTGTAATAATTTTATAGATAATTTATACATAGTTGTATAATTATTAAATATTTTTATAAATAAATTAAATTCTTTAAACTTATTTACACCAAAATTAATTAATTATTGAAATGATGAAGTAATTGTTAAAAAGCCAGCAACAAGTACAACGTCAGTATAACTAATGAAGCAAAAAAATTAAGGTATTACACGAAAAATACTGTAATATTATTAATTATTAAAATGACAAAAAATGTAAATTAAATAAAAACTAAACATTTACGGGACTATTTTGCTTCTAAGGCGAAAATGACTATAATATTCGTGTTTAGCTACCCCAGATTAACTACAAAAGAATTTTTGTACATGATCCAGAAGCCGAAATATCAAAGATTTTGCAAGCGCTAGCCATTTAGACTGAACGTCATCAGTTTTCAGAGCGAGCGCGCGCCGCTTCCCCCTACTTCTCCGTCCGCTGCAGCTGACGCACTGAGCGCTTGCACACTTCAGTTTATTACTCAATTACTAATACTAAAAATCAAGTATACATATCCTACTATTTTTTTTTTTGAAAATATAAGTATTCAATATTAACCTACATCAAGCGCATCGCTGTAAAATGTTAATTGCGTCCTCAATTTTTTTTTTTTAATAAAAAATTATCTCGGCTCCAGAAGAAGGTCGTAGAAAACATATTTTTTTTTTAAATTCGTGAAAAAATGTCAGCAGTTTCTTTCTTTAAAAGTCATTTTCAGAAAATAAAAATTGAAATAGTTATTTGAAAAAAACGTGCCCAAAAAAAGTGCAACTTTTTCAAAGTAATTTTTTGATCCTTAAAATTAATAAAATCGTAAACATTGTTTAACAGCATGATAATATAACTCTTTACGAAGAAAATAAACCGAAAATCGTTACTGTAGGGCTATCTGCTGAGAAAATGTAGTCAATCTTCGAGAGCGCCTTTTTTTAAAAAAATCGATATATCTCGAAAAATAATTAATATTTTTAAATTTTTCAAAAATGTAGTTTTTTGCCTTGCCGCGGGCTATGCTTGCAGTAAATAGCAAATATGGGCACGTAAATGTAAACGAGTTATAGAAGAAGAGAAAAGAGAAGATTTTTAACGGTTTTTTCGATATATCTCAAAAAGTAACAAAGCAATCGATACTTTCAAAAAATCAGTCGATAGATCTTTTTAAAATCTACAACTTTCTCATTTAAAATTTTTCAATAGGTGCTATATTTTTTTAGTTATTTTAGAAAAACCGTTTTTTGCAACTTTGCGATTTTTTTTTACCATGTTCGCCATTTTGGATCGAGTTTAAAGAATAAGAAATTTAAATTTAAAATTTAATTTTCTATACGCACATTTTTTTTGTCCAGGTAATAATTTCTGTAAGCATTTCTCTATAATGTTTGGACTATTAATTAAAATGTGCTTTCGGGGCGCGTGCACGCCAGTGGTGCCTAGTGAAAATTAACGTGATCATATTTTGATAGCGAAGCGTGGCGTGAGACCCTTATAAGTATGTTCGTTGCTATGCCATAATATACAAAACTTTAATGACGAAAATAGTCTGAACGAAATTTGCGCAATAAAAATAGGGGTTGCCGCCCTTATATATTTATACAGCGCGGATGATATTTATATGGGGGCTACCTTTGATCTTTAAAAATACGCATCATAAGTTTGTTTTTTCCGTCGTCGTGAAAACTGATTTTTTTTTTAGATAATTTATATACCCCGCCGCTGGACAAGCTAATGTGACCTCAAACAACGCGACGGAACATATTGTGGCCGTTTCACATGAAGCGTACAATATACACCAGGAAAATTAGCGAAAATAAAAGAGAAACTCGAAAAAAATCCTATCCGCGAGATTATTGTAAAATTGTAGAAGGAATTCTAAAAAGTCTAAAGGAACATAATACAAGACATCTCTCATCTCGTGAGTCAAAAACTTTTATTAGCTAACTTTTCTATTTAAACAAATAAGTGAGGAAAACAGTTTTTTCACTTTGCAAGGAAAACCATCAATTTTAGCGAAAAGTGACTCACAGACAGCTTGTAGGGAGTAAAATTATCTACAAAATAAGACTTGTTAAATTAAAATCGGTTAATAAGCAAAAAAGTTATTGCAAAAAAACAAGAAAAGTGCTCATCTTTTAATTTGTTTATAACTATCGCATTTATTGTTAAAATTTTACAAAACCTATGACAAGTTGAGGGTTTTGTCATACTTAAAAAATGTGCCAAAAGTGGGCGCTGTAAGTGCAATAGTTTTCGCACGATTCTATTTGTTTATAACGGAAGCTCCAAAAGTTATGAACTTTAAGCCTCTGTACAGGCGTTAATTTTCAACCAAACATGATTCTGAAAGCGTTATTGTAATCTTAAAGACATAATTAAGCGACCTATTAAAAAATATTACCGTTTCTTTGACATTAACATTCTCAAATTGTGCATTAAAAAACCGTGCGTTTTTCGCGTATAAACAATTTGAATAACATTGTTGCCATTTATGCTATCTCACCGAAAATAGATGCAATGGACAGCTGGCAAAAAAATAGTTTTAAAATAAAAAAGTATTCTCTACGACCAACAGGAGGCAAGATAATAATTATTTTTTAAAAAATCGTAGCGCAATTGTTTATAAATATTAAGAAAAAAAATGCATCTTTTAAACTTAAAACTTTTAATTTACAAAAATGTCACAAAAATTATTCTTAAACGAAATATAAATTAAAATTTCTATTTCGGAATTATTTTACTATTATTAAATAAATAAATGAAGCTATCGTTCATTTAAAAAGTGATTCTTTTTACAAATTAAGGCAAAGTAAACTTGTTTTTTCATTATTTTGTTAGCTATTTAATTACGATTTAAATGTAAAATTAAAGTAAAAATTCACAAATTATTTTCAATTTATTATTGTTAAAAGATCTAAAAAAGAATAAAAAGCATTTAAACTTATTGCAAAATTCTCAAAATTAAAAAAAAAATTAATAAAAATAATGCGGTCGATAAAATTACAATTTAAAGTCTTGAAATTTTAATATATAAAGTTTTTTTAATTTATTTTATACAAAAAAAATTTTGCAACATAATCAAAATTAATTAAACAAATATTAATTAACCATTTTCAACATATAGATATAATGCAATATAATACAATTTAAAATTTAAATTTTTTTCTATTTTTATGATAAATAATAATTTGAAAATAATTTATGAATTTTTACTTTAATTTTACATTTAAATCGTAATTAAATAGCTAACAAAATATTGAAAAAACAAGTTTACTTTGCCTTAATATGTAAAAAAAAAATAACTTTTTAAATGAACGATAGCTACATTTATTTATTTAAAAATAGTAAAATAATTCCGAAATTGAAATTTTAATTAATATTTCGTTTAACAATAATTTTTGACATTTTTGTAAATTAAATAAAATTAATTATAAAAGATACATTTTTTCTGAAGTTCAGGGCTATTCTACGAATTCGTAAATATGCCCATCGTTATTTTTTCGTCGAGCTACCCCAGATTAAAAAAAACAGAATAGGTCTACGATGAATAGAAGCCGAGATATTGCAAAATTTACAGCGCGCATCAATTTGAACTTTGGATTTACGTTTTCTCGCGCGCGCGACTCGCTTGGACGAGCTTCCCCCACCACCACGACGCCGGCCGCCGGACAGTTTACTTAGCGAGTACCTTCTCTTTAAAGGGCTCGTGAGTCGTTAATTTTCCACATTTTCAATGCAATTCA